ATGTTACTTCTTGGTTCCAATTATTTGTAAGTTGATTCTCTTGGACTTCTAGGCTATGAAAAATAATATAATAAAATGTTTCTTTCTGCTCAAGCTTTCTCTTTATTTCTTTCTTATAGTATTGGCTAGCTTCTCTAGTACAGTGCTTAGTAGTAGTAGTAATTGTGAGCTTTTATGGTTCTTGGCTTTAGTGGGAATCTTCCTAAAGTTTTGTTTTTCATTCAAATTCATGTTTGTGGTAAGTTTCTGATCATACCTTTGTTTTATACTTATATATGAATTTTATTTATTTTCTTATTGAGGTAACATTGATTTATAACATTATATAAAATTCAGGTATACATTATAGTTCAACTTCTGTATAAACTCCCTCATGTTCACCACCAAAAGTCTATCTGCCATCTGAATGAATATCTCTTTAATGATGAGAGTGCCCTGTGTTCAACCCAAGCTAAGTTTTTTACATAAATCTTTAAAATGTGATGAAACACAAATAACATAAAATTGACCATCTTAACCGTTTTTAAGTTTATGGTTCAGTACTGTTAAGTACCTTCACAGAGTCTCCAGAACTCTTTTCACCTTCCCATACTGAAACTCTGTAGCCATTAAACAAGTCCCCAAACCCTCCTGGCCCCAGGCCCTGGCAACCACCATTCTACTTTCTGTCTCTATGAATTGACTACTGTAAGTATCTAAGCAGAATCATATAGTATGTGCCTTTCCATGAATGGCTTATTTCACTCAGCATACTGTCCTCAAGGTTCATCCATGTTGTAGCACATGTCAGAATTTCCTTCCTTTTTAAGGCCGAATAATATTTCATTGTATGTATACGCCACATTTTGTTTATCCATTCATTGATCAGTGGACACCTGGGTTACTTCTACTTTTGGCTGTTGTGAATAATGCTGCTATGAACATGGGTGTACAAAAGCCTCTTTCAGATCCTGCTTTTGATTCTTTTGGGTATATACCCAGAAATGGAATTGCTGGATTATATGACAATTCCATTTTTAATTTTTTGAGGAACTGCCAAACTCTTTTCTATAATGGCTGTACCATTTTACATTCCCATCATCAGTGCACAATGTTTCCAATTTCTTCACATCCTCACCAACATTTATATTGTTTGTTTAATAATAGCCATCCTAATGGTTATGAAGTGGTGTCTCATTGTGGTGTTTGTTTCTTTATTAAAGGATGAGATTTATTTTTTCCTGTATTAATGAGATATAATTAACATTTAAGATTATATTAATCCAAGGTGTACAACACAATGATTTGATATATGTATATATTGTGGAATGATGACCACAGTAAATTTAGTTAACATCCATCACCTCACAAAGTTACAAACTTTTTCTTGTTATAAGAACTTTTGTGATCTATTCTCTTAGCAATTTTCAAATATACAATACATTATCGTTAACTACAGTCACCATGCTCTACATTACATCCTCAGAACTTATTCATCTTACAACTAGAAATTTTTGCCTTTTGACCATCTGCACCCATTTCCCCCCCAACTCCCTCCTCTGCAAACCACCAATCTGTTCTCTGTATCTTTGAGTTCAGTTTCTTTAGATTCTACATATAAGTGAAATCATACAGTATTTGTCTTTCTTTGTCTGACTTTTTTCACTTAGCATAATACCCTCAAGGTCCATCCATGTTGTCACAAATGTCGGGATTTCCTTCCTTTCTACGGCTAATATTCTGTTGTAAATATATACCAAATTTTATTTTTCAATTCATACATAGATGAGCACGTAAGTTGTTTCCATGTCGTGGCTATTGTAAATAATGCTGCAATGAACATGGAGGTACAGATATCTTCTCCAGGTATTGATTTCACTTCCTTTGGATATATACTCAGGAGTGGACTTGCTGAATCATGTGGTAGTTATATTTTTAATTTTTTGAGGAATCTCCATTCTGTTTTCAATAGTGGCTCTACCAATATACATTCCCACCAACAGTGCACAAGGATTCCCTTGTCTCCACATCCTCTCTAACACTTGTCATTTCTTGTCTTTTTAATAAGAGCCATTCTGACAGGCATGAGGTGATATCTCATTGTGGTTTTGATTTGCATTTCCCTGGTGATCAATGCTGTTGAGCATCTTTTCATGTAGCTGTCGGCCGTCTGTATGTCTTTGGAAAAATGTCAATTCAGATCCTCTGCCCATTTCTTATTTGGATAGTATGGGGTGTTCTGCTATTGAGTTGTATGAGTTCCTTACGTATTTTTGATATTAACCACTTTTCAGATATACGATTTAAAAATATTTTCTCTCATTCTGTAGGTTGCCTTTTCATTTTTTTGGTGATTTTTCTATGCTGTGCAGCAGCTTTTTAGTTTGATGTAGTCCCACTTTTTTATTTTTGCTTTTATTGTTGCTTTTGCTTTTGATGTCAAATCCAAAGACTCATTGCAAAGACCAATGTCCAGGAGCTTAGCCCCTATGTTTTCTTCTAAAAGTTTTATGGTTTCAGGTCTTACTTTCAAGTCGTTGATGCAATTTAAGTTGATTTTTCCTAATCATATCCCTAATGATTAGTGATGTTGAACATCAATGCTTTATGTGCTTGTTGGCCATTTGTACAGCTTGTTTTCAGAAATGCCTATTCAAGTCCTTTGCCCATTTTTTAATCAGGTTGTTTTATGGTTGTTGTTGAGTTGTAGTCATTCTTTGTATATTCTGCATATTAACCCTTATCAGACAGGTGGTTTACAAATATTTTATCTCATCACACAAGTTGCCTTTTCACTCTACCGATTGTGTCTTGTGCTGAACAGAACTTTTTAAAATTTTGATGTAGTCCAAATTACCTATTTTTACTTTTGTTGCCTGTGTTCTTGTATCATATCCAAGAAATCACTGGTCAAATCCAATGACATAAACATTTTCCTCTATGATTTATTCTAAGAGTTTTATACTTCTAGCTCTTTCAATTAGGTTTTTGACACTTTTTCAGTTAATTTTTGTATATGGTGTAAGGTAAGGGTCCTACTTCATTCTTTTGCATATCTAGTTTTCCCAGCACCACTTATCAAAAAAAAAAAAAACTATCCTATCCTTGTGGAATGATCTTGGCATCCTTGTTGAAAATCATTGGCCCATATATGTGAGGTTTCACTTCTGGGCTCTCTGTTCAATTTCATTGGTCATATGCCTGTCTTTAGGCCAGGACCACACTATTTTGATTACTGTAGCTTTGTAGTAAGTTTTGAAATCAGGAAGTGTGAGTCCAATTTTGTTTTTTCAGGATTGTTTTGGCTATTTAAGGTTCCTTGTTTCCATATGACTTTTAGGATAGATTTTTCTATTTCTGAATAAAATGCCATTGGGATTTTGATAGACATTGCTTGAATGTGTACATCACTTTGGGTAGTGTGGACGGCTTAACAACAGTAAGTCTTCCAATCTATGCACCCAGGATATCTTTTCACTTATTTATGTCTCTTTAATTTCTCTCAGCAGTGTTTTATAGTTTTCAGTGTACAACTCTATCATTCCTTCATTAAGTTAATTCCTAAGTATTTTATTCTTTTTGATTGCCATTATAAATGGAATGAAGTGGGGCCATTATCTAACATAATATGGATATAAAAGTTAACTGAAAATGTATCAAAAACCTAATGTAAGAGTTAAAACTATAAAAGTCTTAGAAGAAAACGTAAGGAAATCTTCATGAAGTTGAATTTGCCAATGACCTCTTGGATATGACAGAAAAAGCATAGACAACAAAAGTAAAATAGATAAATTGGATTACATCAAAATTTTAAAAGTTTTTTTCATCAAAGGACGCAATTAACAGAGTGAAAAGGCAATCTATGGAATGAGATAGAACATTTGTAAACCATCTATCTGATAAGGAGTTAATGTCCAGAATATATAAAGAATGATTACCATAATGTAGTGTTGTATCTCTTTTCAAGGGGAGTCGATATAACACTGTGTTATTTACATTTGGCAGATGCTAGATTTACTTGAATAATCAGCCTTAAACTTCCCTTTTTGTTTAATTCTCAAATAATCTCATAAGTTTCCTGAAAAGGCCATAGTTGTGTGTGTAGAGAGGAAGAGGTAGCAGAGGAACAACCACCTGTCTCTAACTAGGATTGTGAGGTAGCTGTTTACGTAACACCCTTGTGCCTTCAGAAACAACCAGACAAGGTTTCTATAAATCTTAATTCTACTTGATATTGGAGTATTACACGGTAAATCCTACCTTAGGGCCAGATGGGTAAGATGACACAGAGCACATGGTGCAATGCTCACCTTATTACAGAATGCCAAAAACCTGTTTCTCAAAGGGAAAATACTTGTCAAAGAGAGTAAAACTTTGCTTTCTAACCTTGTGTTATTCTCCTGAAGATATTTTTAACTTGTAGGGGAAGTAAGATATAGAAATTTGTCCCTCACTCTGGCATCCCTCAGACCACTAGACCCCAGGAAATTCACTGAGATGTCAGGCCTGTGCATTTGCATGAGATTAATATCTGGCTATCTGAGAAAAATGAGTCTTACCAAGCCATCCACTGTATTATTCATTTTTATAATCTCTTCCCTTCTATGAATTAAATGTCATTAATGTCATGTGGGACAGCAAAACAATCTAGGTCCCTTTCATTTGTTAATCCATGCAACAAATAGTTATTGAGCATTTATTTCATGTCAGGCTCCTTTCTTGGCTCTGGTGAGACAATAGGACACAGAGTAAAGTCCTTGCCCTTGGGAAGTTTACAATCTAGTAAAACAGACAATAAATACCATATAATATAACATAATATTGTGCAACAGCTTGAAAAGTAGTATTCTAAAGTAGAAGCAGGAGACAGGGAATGGATAGAGGGGTCACGAACACATTTTGACAGATTTACATTCAAAAAGAGATTGAGAGGAAATGAGAGAGGGTCTAGCACTTTCAAGGCTTGATTTTGGACTTCTCAGTCTCCAGAACTGTGAGAAATAAATGTTTGTTGCTTAAGCCACCCCGTTTATGATATTTTTGTTAGAGCAGCCTGAATAGACTAAGATAGTACTCTATGGAGCTTAGATGCCTGAGACCAAGTTAGAATACTAGAATTGTGTGTTGACCACTTCATTTATGCAGTAGTAATCAGGGACGTGGACCCTTGAAAACTCTTAGGGGTTTACTCAGATCAATTTAAATAGATTATCCCATTCCGCTCTTACTCAGGGCAAGAGAAGTTGCTATTTTTGAGTTATAATATCTCTCCCCAGCACTCTCCTCAGAGCCTTAGCTACATCCTTATTCCGGAGAGTATAAATCAAAGGATTCAGTGTGGGAGTAATGATGCTATAGAACACAGAACCAACTTTGTCTTGCAATGGAGTGCGCTGGGACCTGGGCCTCATATATGAGAAGATACAGGCGCCAAACCAGAGGGAAACCACAGTGAGGTGAGAGCTACAAGTGGCAAAGGCATTTCTCTTACTCCCTGATGAACGCATCTGAATGACACTGTGGAGGATGAAGGCATAGGATGTAGAAACCAGGAGGATCGGGAGGAGAAGAAGTAGGACACTGCTGATGTACACTGTGTTCTCATAAACAGTGATGTCTCCACATACCAACTTCACAACAGCTGGAGACTCACAGTAGAAGTGGTGGATTTTCCAAGGCCCACAGAAAGGGAACTGCATCAACATCACTGTGTAAAATAGGGAGTTTATGGATGCTCCCAACCATGACACGACAGCCATCATCAGTCCCACCTTTCTGTTCATGAGAACAGTGTAACGCAGTGGATGACAGATGGCAACATAGCGGTCATAGGACATGAGAGCCAGGAGAAGACACTCAGCACCACCCACAGACAAATAGAGGAAGTGCTGGGTTGCACAGCTCACAAAGGAGATGGACTTCTTGCCAGATAGGTAGTTGGTAGCCATCTTGGGGATGGTTGTGGAGACATGAATCAGATCCATGAGGGAGAGCTGGCTGAGCAGGAAGTACATGGGTGTATGAAGCCGGGAATCAGCACAGATGAGGAGAATGGTGAGGGTGTTGCCACTCACTGCAATAAGGAAGACCACCATGGTCACAGAGAAAAAAAAAAGGTGGGTGAGTGAGTCATCAAAGAGCCCTTCAAGGATGAAGTCTGCCAGAGAGGTCTGATTCCTCTGCCACATCTCCCCTTTCTCAGTCCCTGGGGAAACAGGAAGTGGAGATGAAGTGAGGTGTCAGAAATACTGGGGTTCAGCATACCTGACAATACAACCTTTGGATCAACAGAAGAACTTTTGGAAAAAATTTTTTTGATTTCTAATTATTCAACCATTCATATTATTGAAATAACATTTAAAAAGAGAGAGAGAACTTCAAATCTCTCTTCACAAACACGGTCACTCTGAAATTCCAGAATATCTAGGCTCTAAGTGCCAAACTTCAAAACAAGAGTCTCCCTCATTATAATAGGAAGAAACATATTTACACATATATACACTTTTGTATATATACACTAAATTTTATATATAATATATATATATAAAGTATACATATATACTTTTTGATTTATTATATCAGTCACAGATTAACAAGAGAAGCTGAACCACTAAGAGACTTATACATACATATAAACATACATTTAATGGATTGTACAGAAATTTGACCTTACACAATAGTGAAAACTGGTTAAGCAGTCTATGTAATGCCATCACCTTTGTGTCTGATGCTGGGACTTGAAGTCCATGGGGCAAGCAGTCAGGAAGGAAGATGGGTATAAACTATGGTAGATCAAGGGCAGGCAGGAACCCACAAGTATGACCTGTAACCCCACAAGGTAGACTGAAACCCATGTCAGTTCTTGTTGCTTCTGGAATTGTTGGTATGGTTGGGTTGGTAAGGTTGGTATGGTGATCTTGCAGAAGCTGGGACCCTTCTTAATGAGACTAAACACACACCTAGCCCAGAAGTCACAGAAGCTAAAAGAGGATTCAGGGGAAGGTAGAGCAATTTCGGGCCCAGCTGCTGCTTCACAGAGATGAGGTGAATCAGCAGGTCAGAAACAACGTCTGTAAACTGCAGAATGGCTGATTCCCTTCTGTCTCTTAATCTCCCTGAGAATCTTTCCTGTGGCCCATCTTAATCAGAAACATACAAAAATAGGAGTTCTAGGAAATGTAATTTATCCTAGCCAAATTGACACATTACAAAACCACCAGAGTCCATCCCCTGTCAATTTGGCGCACACGCACATCTCCTTAAGCCACACTTAATCTCAAAATAAACGCAACAAAGTCATCCTTCTGCCTAACATGATATAACTATCCTGCATACAACCAAAAATATGCCAAATATTCATATAAAAACAAGGAAGAAATACCCTTACTATTGTCCACAGAATGAGTCATCCTATCCAAGTGTTAACCCGTTCTGTGGATGTCAGTTAGAACACTTGCTCAGTCACTCCTGTTCATGCAAATGGACTCACAAACAAAGTGGTTGTGGAAGCAAGGATGGAGGCTATACATGGGCTCAGCAACATGGACTTCCACTCACCAAGGCAGATCTCACTACAGCCACTGCTGGGTGCCCAATCTGCCAACAGCTGAGATCAACTGAGTTCCTGATATGGCATCATTCCCCAGGGGAACAGCCAGCTACATATTGGTAGACTGATTACACTGGATAGCTTCCATCGAGGAAAGGACAGTGCGTTGTTTTTACTGGAATAGACACTCTGGATACGGATTTGCCTTCCTTGCCCATGGTGCTACTGCCAAAACTATCACCTATGGACTTACAGAATGCTTTACTCACCATAATGGTCTTCCATGAAGCTTTGCTTCTGACTAAGGAACTTATTTCACAGCAAATGAAGCATGGGAATGGGTCCATGCTCATGGAATCCACTGGTCTTACCACATTCTCCCTCACCCTGAAACAACTGGCTTGATATAATAGTGGAATAGGGTTTTGAAGACTCAGTTACAGCAATAGCTAGTTGGCAACACCTCGTTTCCCCTGTTAGGACAATGTCCTCAGGATGAAGTAAATACTCCTAATGTGCATCTAATTTGTGGTGCTGTTTCTTCCATCACAAGGGCTTATGGGACCAGGAATCAAGAAGTGGAAATGGGAGTGAGTTCTCTCCCTATAACATTTATAACTGTGATCCACCAACATAATTTTTGGTTCCTGTGTCTGCACTTTTAGGTTCTACTGGTTTAGAGGTCTTAGTTCCAAAGGGAGGGATTCTTCCTCCAGGTGACTCAACAACGGTTTCATTTACAGAGAATTGAGACTGCCACCCTGCCACTTAGGGATCCTCATGTCACTGAATCAACAAGCAAAGGAGGTTACTATATACTGCCTGGAGTGACTGATCCTGACTAGCAAGGAGAAATTTGAGTTGCTACTAAACCATAGGGATAAAGAGGAGCATGTCTGCAATGCAGGAGATTTTCTAGGGTGCACCTCTGTACTCAGATATCCTATGATGAAAATCAGTTAAAAAATACAATTCACAAGGACTGCTAATAGCCCAGATCTTTCAGGAATGAAAGTTTGGGTCACCTCGCCAGACAAGGAACCATGACCAACTGCAGACAAAGGGAATATGGAATAGGTAGTTAAAGAAGGTAGTTATATACACCAGCCATGACCACGTGAGCAGTTGCAGAAACAAAACCTGTAATAGTTATAGGCATCTCTTCTTTATTTTGATCTGAATAATTTGTACATATACATTAACTAAATATTTTTGTTTTCATCCCCTCTGTCATCTTTTTTTATAACATAAGATATATCGATATAGTTAGGTTCATATCTCAGTATTTAAGTTATAGGACATAAAAGGGGGTTATGAAACAGATAGGAGTAGAATGATTTTCAGCTAAAGACAGAAAAAGGATATTTTATCTTCTTATGGGAAAAGGGTTGGTATGGTTTATATCCTCTTCTTGGGAAAAGGTTAACATATTTTTGGTTATACCATGTTAGGTGGAAGGATAACTTGGTATCGTCTTTATGTGGAGATTAAGTATAGCTTAAAAGATGTGTATGGATGCCAAGTTGCATAGTGATGTACCTGAAAATAAAAAAGAGATATATCTTCGTAGACCTGAAAGCCTTCAAATTATGGATAAGGCTGATAAAACTAGGACTTTAACATTTAATCAGCCAAATTTCCCAATTGGCCCTTTATCTAATTCTCACATGAATACTGATCAGAATGAGAGCTTCATCTCCATGGGGAAGCCCAACTCAAAAAATAATAATCTAAATTGGTCCCCAAAATATACATCCTATCCCTTTTTGTGTTTTTCCTCCTAAACACCTCCCTAGGTCTTCATGCATTCCACACTATCTACTTACTGTTTAATGCAAAGAACTCAGAAGTGAATGTATTCTCCAGGGTATAATTTGACCAGTAAGAAAGAGGTCACATGTATTATCTTTCTCCATATTAATACAGCTTAGGATCCTCCTTGCGGTTGTCCCCTCACATTGTTACTTCAAATTCAGCTTCTTGTGGACTAAGGGCCCAAAGTTCCCATGCTCCCTCCAACCCCATGAAGACATCCACACATTTCCACTTACTTACATATTCGCATATTTCCCTATCTCTTTCCTCATTAGTTTCCATCTTTCTCTATAAATCTCCATAGTGTAAGTTTTTCCACATCTGATTCATGTCTCTCTTCCTCCCTTAGGCAAATTACCTAATAATTTCCCATTCTGATTTGTGGCCCTCAGGTGACTTTTTTCCTCTGCCTTCTCAGGCAGCTTTCTTCATGGACTGACCAATATCACCCTCTGACTAAAGGGATGGGGAAATGAGCTGACAATGGCAGAGGATGCCTTGGTTTCTAATAAAGGTTTCCTGGATACCTCAAGCCCCAACCTTACCTTACCTGGAATTTCCTCTGCAGACTGGTGGGCAGAACAAGTATAGTAGTGAAATGGAGAGGTCCACACTGACTCACATATTGGCTACTAATCATCCAAAAAGTCTCTTCTGAAGTGCTCATCAGACTTCCTTCTCTAACCCTGGATATCTCCATTTACTGGTGGAATGACATAGAAGGTAATGTCCTACACAGTCATGATTGTTTACACTAATTATCTAGTGAGAGAGCATCATCAGGAGCAATAGTACATGAGTTCTGTAATGCTTTTGCAATGTGTGCTGGGATTTTGAACTTCATCAGCACTCATCAGGACAGATTAAGTAACTGAATCTCTTTAACCTCTACTACTTGGGCCTTTGAATCACGCATATGCTTCCTTTGCCTCTAAACATGTATCTAAGGTACCTCCCCATCCCCAAATGGCAATGAAATCTTGGGCAATAAGAATTTCTATTAATGTTATCTGATTAAGAATCTACATTTAACATCAGCTTAATCATCAATGAGTCCAGAGTCAAAAGAAAATCTGTTTTGGATTTTCTGCTATTTTGGATCATTCAAGGAACTCTCTTCTTCACTTTACACCTTTTTTCAAAATTTATAAAATCAGAATTTTCCTCTAGCACTGGTGTTTTTAGAATAAGCCCCTTCCTGACTGTGTGAATGTTTCCTCAGCAGGAAACATAGGGATTATGAATGAGGATAGACTTGGCCAGACATGAGCCAATCATGAGGGAAGAGAAGCACCATCTGTGAGAAATAACATGCCCCTAAGCCAGAGGACCTATGATGTCAGCTCAGGCAAATTGAGGTTACTAAATATATGGCATCAGGGATTCCAACCCAGAGGACACATCCTGAATCTCTTCTGGAAACCATTACTCAAGATGCCAATTAGACTTGCTGTATGCATTGGGATGAGCAGTCCCAAAAGGCTTTCTTGGAGTTTGTTTTTAGGGGTCAGGGGAATGAGATATTTCAAGGAGTGTGGCTCTGAGGATAACATGGGACTATGCTCTCCAACGGCCAATTAACTGTGAAGACAAACAATTCCTAGAGCCCCTGGCTTGTTTTTCATCTTGGAACCCAGATCTCTCTAGCCCCTTTATATCCAACCCTTTTGAGAATACAGTTGGAGAGAGATCTAATCTCTATTGCCCACAGGACACTTTCAGGGTTTCCCCAAGTGCTATATCATAGAAATCAAGGAATAGAGGCTAGCAATTACCACTAGCATAACCTACCCTAGCTGTTGGTCATACATACATAATTTTATAGACTACATTAATATAACATGTGAAAAGATTTCAGATACAGAAGAAGAAAATGGCATATCCATACATCTTCTTATTTACTCCCATCTCATTCTAATACGGTGCTCT